GTATCATGCCTAAGGGACTTCGCGACTTGGCTCTGTAACTGTTTAACTGCCTCGGAGATCAGTTTGAGAGAGTCTTCGCTAAGCCCATCAAGCTCAGGTATAGTCCACAACTCGTAGACTTTTCCATGACAACCCCGGCAAGCAAATCCGACCACTGAAAGGAACTTGTAACAGAGCAGACAGGACCGTTTACTACAGCCGAGGTATTTGAATGCATGGTCCAACTGTGTACCCCTTTTAAATAAGTCCACCACGAGCTGGACTTCGGCGTGGACGTTATTCTCAGTCGCCTTGAGCTTACCAAATCTATTTACCAGTTTGTCCCTGGTCCACTTTGATGACTTACCCGTCCCCGGACTCATCAAGATACTCGTCTCCGCGTCATTAAACTTCAGACCGAGTGACTTGAAAACCTGGCCAACGGTCCAGGGGGGACCACAGGTTGTTTCTTGGTGAGCGGGGCCTTCTTTGTGAGGGACGTAAACTCGACCCATCGCACACGCAACTTGTCAAACCCTTCAATCCTTTCGATAGCCCGAACAAAAGTTAGAAAGGCTACGTGAGGTCGGCTCAATAGATAGATCAAATCGCCAATGTGCCGGCCGACTGATGGCTTTTCTGGTTGGATTTTCTCAAAAGTGGAGATGTCATGGAGGGCTCGTATGTTATACGCCTCGAGAACAATCTTACTTAGGTCGTGTGGTACTTGGTTCAAGACTAGAGATAGTGCCTCGATCTGCACTGCAAGGTTTTTAGTGATATCCGAACCAGACTGCTTCATGTGGATCCGGCCTTGGTTCAAAGGTTTTTGCAAGTCTGATATATATCCCTTTACTCTCGGCGTGTACTGAGTTAGAATTAACTCCCACAGCTCGGTTGTGTCTTTAGGCGAAACTATATGCTATGATAAGTATCAGGGTAGAGCTACACCTCCTATAAACATACCTTGACCGCCCACCATGCGCCCCAGGACCTTCTCTAAGGCTATTAAGAAGTCCTTATCCGTTTGCTTTAACCCAGAGTTCTTAGCGACGGTGATCTCAGTGACTCCCAAGTTCTCTATCATCAATGCAGCAGCTACTTGATAGCCACCTCTTGTATGTGATAGAATCTCAGATAATCGGTCAAGAAATGCGCGCTTAAGTTTATCATCATCGAAGTTGGTTAAACGTTGTCCCGCAGTGGAATCGCCGTCTTCTGGTAGATCTATTATATCGGGGCCTACTTCACAGGCGTCGAATGTAATAGCATCATCAGCCTGTCCTCCATTGCGAAGGCTCAATATCTTGGTGTACGCCTCGAAGCGAGACTTATCCAGGCCATCTAGCCCCCAATGAAATGTATGGCTCATTGTCTTTGTATATATTGAATGTAGCTGGGAGGAGTAAAGATAGCCGTTCCAGCAGCGCTCGATCGAAGCGGGGGAAATACGGTTATATTTACGTTGAGAAGCGGTAGGCTGCATTCTGCTGCACATGTGACCAATATGATCTATCATTATCCGCAGGTTGCATACCTACCTAAGAGATACCTAACGTAATAAACTATGCGACCAAATAGTTGGTTGCTCTAACACTATAAGTCTAAATATATGTATTGGACTCAACTTGCAAATCAATTATGATATGTGTTACTGGGCATCATATCACGTACCGGGTACTCAGCAGTAACAAATAGCGAACATATATTGGTATCTCTCTATGATCTTTCAATTATTCACCCCTGTAATGGATCCCGAGTTCTTTCTTCCGTCATTTTCAACTACATCTCACCGAAACTTACCATTTACCTATCTTAAGTGCCTAAGGTAATCTGTTCATATCATTAACAATACGAAGAGAAAGCGGAAAATCTCTGGGTATTTAATAAATATGATAGTCCGTTGTCGACGAAGTCTTTATACACTATTTGAGCCTTCTCTAGACTCTCTAACCGTTCATAAGAGTAGCAAAAAGGCCTAGGTTCACCTAGGACATTGTTTATATATCATTTGGCTAGTTAATCTGGTGATAATTCTAAAAGAGCCATGAAATCAACGCCGAACATGGAAAAAGATATTATAAAGCAAGTTAAATTTGGAAACTCCGACGTCTTGGGTAGTATTTGGCTTTCCACTTGACAACTGAAGAGAATTCCACTCCGACAACATGCATGAATATCAAAGTAGTGTATATGGTTAACGATATATTATCCCTTTATTCTTATGATATTAATGAATATTTTTCTAGCAATATATGGCCATGCTGCAGTGCCCTCTATATTAGAACCTGATGCTTTTTAACCAGGCGTCGTGATTATATCTTAATATTTTCGAGTTATGTTGCGACCGAACTTCTAATCGCCCCTATATATGTATAATCGACATTTATATTCTGAGAAGGGATTACGGGGAACTGTACAAATGGGGTTGAACTGTAGGGAATGATTTTATTAAACGGTCTTTAAAGCGTTTAACCTAGAGCTATCTGAACTTAGAAGCTCGTTTTATACGAATAGATATCTATTGGTGAGGTTATCTGTTATTATTGTCAACTGCTAACGGTATCTTTCGTCATCATAATCTTTATTTTCGTGCACAAACTCGTGTTTGTTAAGATCTGGTACGTGATGGAATAGATAGTGAAATAGCTAGGAGCTATTATACTAAGTAGGTAGTTTTACTATCCAGCCTCATACCCGCTAAGCTGAGCAACTAAATGCATACATTTCAGAAGCTAATCGTTATATCTGCTATTCTCTCATTAGCCGTGGTTTGTATCAACCGAACTAACAATCATTACTATCAAAACATAGCTATTAATGTCTGCCTCAGCTCGTGCCGAATTACCGCATATCCACTAGGAGCTTGTCTAAGTAAACAACTGGCCTTGGTGGATCTTTTTGATGCCTGACAACTAATTATATGCTTGGCTTATTAGGCATGGCTTGAATATTGTCTCCTATAACCTTACTATTTCTTCTAGAATAGATATCTTTTATATATATACATTCTTGTCGATATTAAAGTCGGGGTTAAATCATGAAGAGGGACTCTACGTTTGCAAGATATTAAATAACTAGTGCAGAAATATACGCGGTCGGTAACTGACCAAGACTACTGATTCTTGCAAATAATCTTTAAATTGACGGCTAGTTTCGTCAACCTCATTGTGTTGTCGCTAAGGCCCATGCCTTGGGCCAGCATCGTATGACGTGGATACTTGGGTCCTATTGAATGCTAGTAAAGTCGGTGAACCAGGACAGATACTGAAAGGGTTATGATGGTGGGGTTATATAAAATATTGACCCATTGGCAATAATTTCAGATGAAAACATAAAAAAACGTTGATTCGATTAATAACACAGTGCGAAGGTATGTACAACGGTGTCTATTATTTTAACCTTTCGGAGAGTGTTAATGTGTTGATATGTCTCGATGATGGGCATTTAAGATTCTTTCAAACATCATGTCGGCAATAATCGATCATCGTATTATGGAAAAGTTCTAGTCTCGGCTTATGAAGAAGAGTATAAGCAGGGATCTGGTCTCAACCCCCCCGCTACAACCCACTAGCTCTGCGTATCAAAAAGGGGTACTCAGCTATTTCCCCATTAAAAATATACGTATCTTAGCGTGGATCTCGCTAGGAAGCCTTGGTAGCGAGCTAATGGATTAGATGGATCTTGGTTGTTTTTTTTTTATCTGCATGTGATAAGAGCATAGCCTAACGCAAACAAGTATGAATAAAAGTCTGATTGGAGGAACTACTCTTAGGTATTGAGCTATGCCTTAATTTTTTTTCTCTTCTTCCCCTCTCTCGTTTGCCGCTTTTTTTTCTCGAAGTTTTCTTCAAAGATTACTGGGATGACTATCTGAGGTACACTTTGCAATGCCTTATGGTTGAGTACTTTTTAACTAGTATGTATGAAACCTTTATGCTTTCGCCTTCAATGTCCACAAGTTTTGAGGGAATTGTCGGGTGTAATGATACTTAAGCCCATAGAGGCATACTTGTCAGGTTGTCTTTTAAACGGCAGACTGTTTCCATAGGCTAGTAGAGATAGCGGTCAAGACAATGCCTGGGTTTAGTATGTATTGGAAGCCCATACGGCTCCCGACTCCTGGCTCTTTGGATTGTAAAGTAAATCAGCCCATCTATTAGTAAATAGAATGACAATGACAATGAGCTTCATACAGCGTTTAGAACGGCAAAAGAAAAAAAAAAGAATCTTATTACTATTATTATTTTGATAATTATAATACTGCAACATATTGGAAAGACACGTGTAGATTTTAAATGGAGAGATGAATGGGATCTATTTTGACCATCCGTTTGTAGGAATTTTCATGTGTTTATCTTAATAACCAGAGTGGTGTAACAAGGGTCTTGATATATCCACCTCTATTCTTTTATAAACAATATTCTATTGGTTAAAAGCCTCGTACACATGCTTTCTAAAACCGTGGAACAGGGTTAGCTCTCTTAAGACCCCTGAATCTAAAAGGGGAAATTAGATAAAATAGGACTAGTGTTTATAACTTCTACCAATCTACGAACCGTGCAAAACTAAGGACCAGATTTAGATGTTGAGCTAGACCCGCTTCCAAGATCCAAAACCCCAGGACCCCTATCCATTCTGAAGCGGACCTAGAACTGTGTTGAGGCTCATCTCAACGAAGATTCGCGCTCCAGACCCCCACGTGTAGCTTGTAAAAGGTTGTAAAAGGTTTAGTGGAGTATTATTCAGAGGGTAAGTAACCCCCTTTTTCTTAACCCTAGGCTAGATATGGGGTTAAAGGGTAATGGCACTAACAATAAGCTTGCCCCGGCGAAAATTTTCGCAAACATTCAAAACGCGGATACGAGACCCTGAAGTTCTTCTTTCCTTCTACCTATATTCTCTAGAGACAGTTGAATTGCAGGTCATTCGAGGTCATTCGAGGAGTCCTTCAGCTGGAAACTACTGAAAAACTCGCTTAAGCTGGTTTTATACTGCTATCAGCTTAAAGCAGATCCATTATGTCGACAGTTACTACTCAGATTGAGGCGCCTGTCGCGAGGTCTCGTGTAGTGCAACTGGTATGTGAAGATACATAACGAATTGAAGACTCGATGCTAATATTTCAAGACAGAAAACTGAGGCAGAGCAGCCGGCATTGCCAGATATCAACACTATCCGAAAGGCTATTCCTCCTCATTGTTTCCAGCCTTCAACATGGAGATCGTTATCCTATGTTGCGCGGGATCTCGTCATGGCCGCCGTGCTTACCTACGGGGCCTTGACGTACATCCCTTCTGTATCTAATCCAGTCTACCGCACTTCTCTGTGGGTTGTCTACGGATTTCTCCAAGGTCTTGTCGGTGTCGGCCTCGGATCTTAGCGCATGAGTGCGGGCACGGCGCTTTCTCGGTCCATCGACATCTTAATGACACAGTTGGCTGGGTTCTGCACTGCGCTTTGGGTGTGCCTTACTTCTCGTGGAAGTTCTCGCACGCTCGGCACCATCGCTTCACCGGCCACATGCAGAAGGATATGGCTTTCGTTCCGCAGACGAAGCCCTCCTGGTTTATCCAATCGCTAGGAGATTCCCTGAGCTCTTTCGTCAACTCTGAAGTTCTAGAGGATGCGCCTCTGGTGAATCTGATTCGCCTACTTGGCCAGCAGCTAGGAGGGTGGCAGGTTTATATGCTCCTCAACGCCACGGCAGGAGAAGATAGCATGCAGAACTTAGAGGCCAAATGGTGGAGGCGTAGCCACTTGGATCCTTTCAGCGGAGTATTCCGACCCCAGGAAGCTATCTATGTTCTCATTTCGGATTTGGGCCTTGCACTTGTAGCCGCAGGCCTCTACTACAGCTCGTTGGCTCTTGGCTGGCAAACCGTTTTCCTCTTATACGGAGTTCCGTATCTCTGGGTGAACCATTGGCTAGGTAGGTTTCGAATTGCAAGATTAAACGGTTCGAGCACTCAGCTAACATCATACCCAGTTGCTATTACCTACCTTCACCACACGCACAAGGACGTCCCTCATTATGATGGCGAACGATGGACTTTCGTAGCTGGAGCTCTTGCTACTGTCGATCGTGATTTCGGCTTCATTGGCCGCCACATATTCCATGGTATTATCGATACCCACGTTGTGCACCACTTGTTCTCGTAAGTGAAAACTATTATCACGATATACTTATTAGATACGGAGTTAACTAATATTTATTAGGCGAATCCCTTTCTATTACGCTGAAGAAGCCACCAGAGCGATTAAGCCGCTTCTCGGTGATCTCTACCATAGCGACGAGCATTCATTTATGGGTTCATTATGGGAGACTTCTCGTACTTGCCAATACGTAGAAAACGACCCGAGCAACCCTGGAGTTATGAAGTGGGCCAAATAGATTTTCTACTTGAAGAGTTAGAAGGTTCAGCACCAATCGCAAGAAACTCCTTTTAGAGTTTAGAATACATTAAAGAAACATAGACATGACAACATAGATATAGACATGAATAGACTTTTCAAGATGTATTGTGTTATCGATCTTTTATTTTATTGATTGGAAAGCTAAATAGGTACGTAATATGTCTTAAGGGATTGTGTACTTATCCTAAGAATTGCCACCTGGACTATTTAACTAAATCTGTACAACTAAGTGTTGGATATTGTTATGTATTTGTCAGAGATCCCGCTTGGTATGTCATATCACTTATGTCACTTACGATGTGACAGATAACCAGTTGGTATAGAGCCTATATGTAGTATATTAAAGAGATATCTTAACGCCTACCACATAAATCAGAAGGTACTAAAATGCCCTATATATTATACCTACCCTACATCTAGCCTACATCTAGCTTGTAGACAGTAAGGTTTGGTCTAAGCTTTGACTACGCTCATCTAAATACATAGTTTTAACCTCTGTACTCTGACGGTATCCTCTTGGTAGTTTCCGTTGCCGTCACGGCACGCTCTCCAATGGAGCCTTAGTTAGGTAGAACCCGCCTCGTTTTACTAACGAACTCGTCTCTTTATGCTGCCACAAACCCGATAGCCCGTAACTGGATCTTGTAACTAAGGAAATTGGGTTTAGTCCATTAGCCGGGAAAGCGAGATTAGGTCCATAGTTCGCCGACGAAATGTAAACGCCGTGCTAGTGCCCGCCATCCTAGAGCCACCCGCCGCAATATTATGGCCATTACACATTGCTATGATGATGCTACGACTACCTAAACTAGAACTAGTTGCATATAGTCTACTAGTGGTAGATAGACAGTTAAGAAACAGCCGCGACAACCTATTAGACGTTCACGGACGTGTCGCGGTGTTAGGATCAGCTAAAGAAGCTTAGATTAGCTACATTTAGGTTTTGACTACTGCAGATATCAAGACATAAGCTGAATGGGGAATTAACTAGGCGGCATCACCGATATAGAACCAACGTTACTGAGTGTTTTCTCAGAATTGGATAATATTATATCGAAGAACGGTGAAAGGGGTTGGTCGGTAGTTTTTAAGGAGACTTAACACAGAGCAAATCCCGGGAGATCACCTTAAAGCTTATTTTTCAAGGTATTCATCTTATATTAGAACTCCGTAAACTGCCGTAAAAAATATTCTCATAAATTTTCCCCAAGATGCAAGGAAAAGATAAGCTACCTCTTATCCTTACTACAAGCCGCAGCATATTACCGACCGTGTTTGGCGCATTCCGCGAAACTGGCGTCGACTTTATTAGTTTACGTTTCGAAGGCTTGTTCAGTCTTATCAACTTATTGGCGAACACAAGAATTATGGTGACTGGAGGCGGGAACCCCTTTTGTCCCTTACAATAAGGTTTCGATCTTGCTCGCACGGGCTACACTCGAGACTTGGACGTAGGTACAGTGGTCTTGGAGTGTAATACGCTGAAAACGGGGCGCTGGCCATGTTAAAAAGGAGAATGAGTTGAGGAATTCGAGTCCGACATCGAGTCTTGACATCGAGAAGAAGACTAAAGGAGACTTGGTCTCCCGTCTCCCCCTAAGGAGCGTTGGGGTTATCTCACGAGGGCTGTCAAGCAAGTTGTAACAAATGAGGTATGTATTGCTATACGATTGTTTAGAAAAGAGGGTGACATTTGAGAGAATGTTCACGCGAGGCAACTAACGAGGTACGGTAGGGGAGTATATCGCTCTTGATTCCATCAATATTTAGAATCCGGGCACTTCCTACGTCTGGTATCACCCGCAAGTCGACACAATATATCATGAAATCCAAGGCACTGTGAAATTGAAGGGCTTATATTTAACCTAAGCGCCTATAATGAAAGCACGTAAATTTACGCTGCTATGATGCTGCCACAATGATGCCCGAGTGATTCCATCAAGCCCACTATCCTTGACGCCACTATATGCCGATGATATAGTTCCTTGCCCTTTAATTGCAGCCCACTTGAACCTGAAGTCAGAAAATGAATTCATGATGCTGATCGCAATGTATAACCTCAATTCGTTTCAACGTGCGTTCGTATGGGTAATGTTGATGAGCACCCATTCTCTTTGTCGCCATTCTCCCCACATCCATTGCATGCGTCAGCCTTTGCTGCGGCAGAAAATCCTGTGAAGGGACATGAAGGAGACGATGGAATGCCTTCCTCTATATCCTCTAATATCTTCTTCCCGTGTAAGAACCCTTCCGGCTCGACTCTCTGCTTCTCTATCTCATCTGCGAACTCGTCACCATCGCGCACATACCACTTCGCGAAAAGGTCGTTCTGGACCCAGATGACCTTGCCGATGGCCTTTACTAGAGCAATCTTCTTATCCGTCCGTAGGCGCGGGTGCGAAAGAAGCGCCTCTGTGAAAGTGTCTTGGATGAAGGCGAGACATGCCCCAATATGGACATATTCGACGTGCAAGGGGTGTTCACGTCCACGGCCAGTATGCATCATACTAAAATTCATCGTTAGGAGATCTTGATATTTGATCAGTCGTAGATGTATATCACTCACCCCACTTTGTCCAGATACTCCCAAAATTCCATTGTGCTAGGGTCAGAACATAACTTCGATAGGTACGCCCTCAAGAACATTTTGCGATGTAATATTTGCGGGCTATTTTCGTCTAGATTGTCATCTACCGGACCTTCATAGCTCGTACTCCGGGTTTCTAAGGCTCGCGTCGTAATGTCATACTGCAGAAGTTTCTGGTAGACGATATTGACGATGGCAGGGATAAGCTGTTTTATGTATCTTGAGCCTGTCACCAAGGCTTCGATATCATCTAAGACTCTGTCAATATAAGAATTCATGAAGACCAAAGACTGAGCCTCGTACTTGAACTGAAATCAATAAATGAGTGGAGATACTGTATTCGCGCTTCGAGATTTGTATATAGATCTTTCCGATCGATATGCTGCCGAGGACGTGCTGAGGGTCCCATTGTGGAGAATGTTAATCCTTGAAGCTGAATTTGGTGCTTGAATAACTTTAAACTTAGTGGTGTTTAAGGAGAAGCAAAAGTTCTACTTAGTCAAGAAGCTGAGCTGTAAGAGAGAGTAGCAATTCACAGTGATTTAAATAAAAATGGAAGAAACTGAATCCGAATTTTATAAAATACCCGAATCAATAACTATAGAAAAAGAAATACCAATTCTTTTCTTTCTGTAACACTAGGAATGAAGCGATGATGGTCAATGATGGGCTGACATCGTGTGGGACCATCGAACCATCGTGTCGGGCGCATTCGATCTGGGCTGACCCCGCGGATAAAAGTGTCTTATTAGAATTGAAGCGTCGCTTATTCGTGGGGTCATCCCCGGTCGCTTTTCATAGCTGAGCTACCTACATCAGGCCAATATGATGTCAGTGTCAGTCTACTTCATATGCGTGCTTTATTTCTAATAGTTTTCAACTACGAGACCCCATAATGCAAGTAATTAAGAGGCATTTCTTGCTGCTAGGGATCATGCCGGGAAGATATTCATAGCAAAGCAAAGCAAAGACCCTAATACCTACCTCATATGTAGATCGGTGCTAGGATAAGTATTTGATTGCACATATAGAAATCAGACTGAGCCATTTCATAGAAAGCTAGGTACCTAAGCATGAAAGCCGTTTTAGTTGACGTATATCCTATGCTTGATTCATGTTTCACGAGTTAAATATCAGACCATACTTCATAAAGTACCACAACGTTCTTATCTCAAAGGTTTCCTACACCTAGGTAAACACTGGTGCACCACGCATGATCGGAATTGAATTTTGACCAGTTAACATGTTACTTATAAGAGAATAACTATGTTGATATTAGCCTAGCCAAAACTGAAGTATTCATATGGATAATCAGGTGCTCTTTGCCTTAGATTACACCTAGTTTACCTCTAATTCCTCTAACATATCATATAACTCAACTTTTAGATCGCGTCTAATATAATCTGATTGGATATTTTGGACGGGGTGGTATCTTTCAAAACGTATGTCTCAGTTCCCTGTATCACCAATTTCATAGATCCCGATTCTCCTAGATGCGTATAGCTCTGCCACTGATTTTAAACTTCACCTGATGCACTGTTTGAGCCCTTGGTTCCCTTAAGAAAGCCGCGAGTGTAGGACCGAAGACGATACATAGACAACTTGACCCATTCTGGTAAATGTCGGTCAAAGAAAGCAGGTAGGGCTACTGCACACACATATTATGCCAATATTGACCTCGAGTGTCCTAAATAAATATAGGTACCTAAGCATTAGAGCTAGAATCAAACTCTTTCTTAGGAAAGACTTACCCCCAAACTGTTATATTAGAAATATTCCAGGTGGCGTCGAGACTACTTGAGAGGACTGGTGTCATTGCTAATCGGATAATACTTGCAACACAAGCACTATGAGAAATAATTAGTTCATATCCCATCCAGATTTGCAGAGCTCACTTGAAGGCTGTCTTACAATAAGCCTGTCCCGAAGATTGCTATAAGTCTGAATTTTCGCTTTCGTCCCATATTCAGATGCCATAAAAGAGGTATAGGCAGGATAAGGATATAAATATCGGTGAGGAAACTCGACACACCAGAAAGATAAGGGAGAATTTTAGGGTTGATGCAATGGCCGTCTAAAGCCGAATTCCACGACCGCGCTACTGGCGAGCACTCGAAAATGGTAGTGAATAGCAATGCTGTTATTAAGACAGACGACGAAGAAATAGCTCCGTAAATAAAGTATTTTGACTTTGTTTTTGGAGAGAAGATACGGCGGTAAAGAAACAAGAAGGTTAGCTTGATGCACGTCGCTAAGATCAAATATATAAACGTGGCAATTGTGTATATCTACCCATGTTTTTAACTTATTAGCATTTACTCCCATTTCCATAAGTAAAACATTCATTTACCTTCAAAGTACCCACGATCCATACTGCTGGTGTGTCCCATATATGACGGCCAATCCCCTTTGAATATGCTAAATACACTATTAACGTCTTCGAAGTTTATTATAAGGCTTAATACCTCTCAAAAGTGACATACCAGCGAACATCAGCCCCGAGAATGTTACACTCAAGGCCTGTTAAACATTAGGTACTTTAATGGTCATTGCCTAATAGAATCTATAATTGAACTTACCCACGACAAAATACAAAGATCTATGATTTGACTATTAGTTCCCTAGGTAGGTAGCTAACACAATAAAGTACCTGAGCTTGTAAAAGAAATTATGGATACTAACAGTCTTCGACGCCTAATTTTCCACTGGAAATATATATACGGGTATACACCCGTATAACTACGGAGAATGAAGCTAGGGTTAGGCATATTGTATGTAGGACTATATTCTGCTTCATCTGAGTTGGAGGGTCGATGAGGTTTGCTTCAACCCCCGGGGGAGGAGGCATAGCCCCAAACCAGCCGGTAGCCATAGGGAATCGGTAGGAGCTAGGAGGTAGGTATGAAACCGAATTGGATAAAAATCTTACGAACGGGTCATATGGGGCTTCTAAAAATACTTAGGCACTAATATAGATTTGATTGCTTCTAAGACGTCCAGATACCTAGGTACCTAAGAATATCAATAGGGTTGGAATAGTTGTCTACTACCTACATACATGCAACTGTACGTAAACAGAATCAAAATACGTATGCCGTTGCCAGAAAACCAGTGTCAGGATTTTAGATGAAATATCTAGAACAAAGAATAGGTTTAGTATGTATAGACATAGAACCTCATAGGTACCTAGTTAGTGTTCCTTACCGAACAACAAAGTTGTTTCTACGCTATTTGGTTCCACCTCGTGACAACCAGTAATAAACTACCTAAGGTAACCAGCCACCTGGATCCTTAGTGGATTGGATAGAATATCGGATTGTACAGTTAGATCGATTCAGTACCTTGGGTACCCATATACATGCGTACCTAAAATATTAGATCTGAAGTACTTTATACAGTGTTCACCACACGCACTTAGGTTATAATTCGCTATCTTTCTTACGTTAAGTACCGAGGTAGGTATCCTCCCTTACAAGTATAGCGCCTTTTGCCCTGTCTCCTGTATAATCCCCTCGCGGTCTGCTAAAATTTTCGAGCCTGCTCTCCTATTGCATTCTTGCTTCCGTGCTAAGGCCAACAAACTTCACCATGTTGGGCACGGAAGAAACTGCTATCTCGTATACGCTGGGGGTTGGATTTGTTGTTTTACTCGTATATTAGCCTCTTATAAATTCTGAATATTAAGCTAACAATTGTAGTATCCAATTTATCGAGCGATTTGCAACCTCTTCTTCCATCCTCTGTCCAAGATAAAAGGCCCACCATTATGGTCTGCCTCACGATTACCGTTTATATATTCGCTCCTTCGGGGAACTCTAATTCACGACGTGGAAAATCTTCATCGAAAATACGGCCCAGTTGTTCGCATCGCTCCAGACGAAGTTACATTTGCTCAAGCAGAAGCCTACCAAGATATATTTCAATCTCGGCCGGACAACAAACCATTTTTGAAGGACCACATTTGGTGGGAGACTCAGCCAGGCCTCCCGGACACTATCTTGAGTGCAATCAACCCTGAAAAACACGCTCGTATCCGAAGACTTCTTGCGCCTGGGTTTACGCCACGAGCTTTACGAGATCAAGAACCTATTTTACATCAATACGTAAACCTACTTGTTGAACGCCTGCACGAACGCGCGCGGGAAACTAAAGAGGCTCGAATTGACCTTGTTCCTTGGTTGAACTTCACAACATTTGATATAATCGGAGACCTTGGTTTTGGAGACTCTTTTAACTGTCTACAACACTCTCGCTACCACCCTTGGATCGCGTTACTTTTTAGTACCGTTAAAGCTGCTACATGGGTAGCATCAGCACGCTACTATCCTTTAGTAGAATCGATCCTACTCAAGTGCATTCCACCTTCTTTAATGAAGACGCAGACTGATCATTACCAACGTATTGCTGATAAGGTCGATCGGCGTCTCAATTTCGAAGTGGAACGACCTGATATACTTTCATATGTCATTAAGAAACGTGAAGAAGAGGCTATTCCAATTGGCGAAATTAATTCTACGTTCATGATACTGACTACTGCTGGTAGCGAAACTACGGCCACCCTTCTCACAGGAATCATGAACTATCTGGTCAATTATCCAGATAAACTTGGTATACTAGTAGACGAGATACGTCATAATTTTCATCGCCACGGGGATATCACCCTAGAAGCCTTACGTGGTCTCCCGTATCTTAACGCTGTAATTAACGAGGGCTTTCGGTTGTGCCCTCCCGTCCCTTGGATACTGCCAAGACGAGTCCCTCAAGGTGGGGGTAAGGTGTGTGGTATATGGCTTCCAGGTGGAGTGGGTAACATATGCCAGCAAGCCAACATTTGTTTCCAGCTAATTTGAATCATGTAGACAGCAGTGTCAGTCCAAGCCTATACGACCAATAGGGACCCCAATTACTTCCATTCCGCATCGGCCTTTATTCCCGAACGTTGGCTTCCCGAAGTACATTCTGACCCCACGTCTCCCTTTTCAAAGGACTGTCGTGAAGCTGTGCAGCCATTCAGTCTTGGTCCACGTAGTTGCCTCGGCCAGAATCTGGCGATGGCAGAGTTACGACTAATCATTTCAAAACTTCTCTGGACGTTTGATTTCGAGGCAATAGAGGAAGAAAGACTGGACTGGGAGAATCTTAGAGTATTTTTACTCATCGAGAAGAAACCCATCCAAGTGAAGATAAGGCTAAGGAGTGGCGTGAGTTAGGAATGGTGTATTTTGTGTGGCCGTTCGGCATGAGAAACCCCTCTTGAATCTTGGGTATGTTGGTCCTTTACCGCCCTGGTGGCCTAAAGTTTGAGCTTTTTGAAACGGATAAAAGTGATGTAAAGCCAGTACATGACTTCATGATACCGCTTCCGAAGCTTAGCACGAAAGGTATGCGAATATTGATTCATTGAATTCATTGAAAGAAGAATAATTGGCTTTATCTTGAACCTGCTAAGTAGGTACATGTAGTATTTCTGGTAGTACATAGGTTAGAACGATCGAGATTCTAAGACGTTGGATATATTAGGTATTTACCTGGGTACCATCTACCATTATATTGTACTTACCTGCTAGCTTCAATCATTTAATTACGCTAAAACAAGCCCTTTCTGTAATATCTCTGTATATTGTTTGTATGGTTTGTGAGGTAATTATCTATCTAAGTCATGTCGTACATAACAGGGTGTCCATGCTCTACCTAACAATATGCGTCTTTGTGGTCGATACAAGGGCCCGTGACATCGTATTACTATAATGTAATAGTGTCTTATTAGGCCTCGTCGTATGTATGGTATTCTGGATGAATCTATGTAAAGTTACGAGGATTACAATATTTACAATTATACTAATCTGGTGGGTGGCGATGCCTCGCCCAGTGCCTGGTCCGTGCGTAGCAACGGATCCACACCCATGCTCTACCTAACAACCCCAAAATGACAAGCTACATAGGTACCTAGCCTAGGTACTTAAGGTATACCTTGTACGGGTAGGGAAGAACCGGATGCTAGAGCTTGAATTTAATCCCTTCCTACCTGCCTTACATCGAATTCAAACCTTCTTAAAGCGAGTAGAAACACTTTATACTTTACACACAATTCTATCGTCCTATAACTTGAAAAGTACAAGTCTGTTTTCGGTTAACTATTCTTTATAATGGGCGCACAATGGTCTCAGGTTTTCCCACCTAAACCGACCTTCAAGGAAGACAACGTGGGTTCCCAAAATGGCAAAGTATTTATCATCACTGGCGGGTACTCGGGGATAGGACTCGAGCTTGCGAAGATGCTCTATAAAAACCACGGTCGCGTGTACATCGCCGGTCGCTCCGAGGACAAAGCCCGTCAGGCGATCGATGACATACGAGTCGGTGCGCCCGCCTCCCAGGGTATTCTCGAGTTCCTTCACTTGGAGCTCGATGATCTGAGTAGCATTAAGGCTTCTGTGGAGTCTTTTAAGGCAAAAGAATCAAAGCTTCACGTCCTCTGGAATAACGCCGGTGTCTCGCGGCCACCCGTTGGTAGTGTCTCGAAGCAAGGGATTGAACTACAACTAGCGACTAACTGTCTTGGGCCATTCTTGTTTACGCGACTGCTTCTACCCTTGATAGAAGAGACTGCCTCTACCGAGCCACCCAGTTCTGTCCGTGTTATCTGGACTTCTAGTCAGATCGTTGAGCTCTCCGCACCCCCAGGAGGTTTTAATATGTCTGAACTACAAACGCCTTCCAAAGACCAACTCCAAAATTACATAATCTCTAAATTTGGAAATTGGCTTCTTGCATCAGAAATGGCGAGAACAGTTGGTTGTACGTCGGGAGTCGTCAGTGTAGCCTTGAATCCAGGCTCTGCTTACTCAAACCTCTTCCGACATACGCCGTCCCTCTTTTTTCGCATGGCCTTTACTCTATGCTCCAAAGATGACAGCATATACGGAGCTTTACGCTGGGTTGTCAAAGGATATAAGCTTGAAGACAAATGGATGCTATATCGTGCCCTTTGGAAGAATTGCGAAGGAGAATGACATCAGACAGGACTTACTAGACGCGCTGAAACAGAAAGAAGACGGGGGCTCTGGAAAAGCAAAGGAGTTTTGCGATTATTGCGAAGATAAGGTTCGTGACTATTCTGAGTTCATGTGGAAGTACCTAGGTATACTATTATTTAGGTATATTTAATTCATATGGAGGTGTTGTCATTTAACTATTGAATTATCTTTTCTTATAACTATATCAACTTGGAATATTATCGACATATGTCTGTCTTATTATGTCTTATTTCAATGTTTGTATTTGTAGGTTAGAAAGTAGTTTTATCAATCGCGAATATCGAATTACCCAATCAGAGAATGATAAAAACAAAAGAGCCAATAAAAAGAGGCAACAAATGCTTCTCTTAGTTAGGTACTAAGTACCTAGTTTCTTTACTACCCTCTCCCCCCCGGTGTTTGTCTTTATTAAAAGTGGTCTGTGCAAGAAAGCCTATCAAAATAAATATTTCATCAGTTATTCGATAGGTACCTTTTTGTTTACATGTAGATAGGTAGGTACCTAAGGTACTTACGTAGATACCTAATATGGCCCTTGCACATTTCCAGGCTGCCAGGTATATTTTTAAGCCCAACTTTCCCCGCATCATACCTCACATAGATTAGCTGAAATCCACACTCGTATCTAAACATCACACTAACAGCTACACTAGGTACGTAAAGAGAATATGAAATTATGGCACATCTAATCTAATGTGTATTAAGGATTATAGCCAAGGATCTTTCAAATACCTACTATCTACATCTTAGATGGACAAGATGGTAGGCCTATCCTTTGGAAAAAAGCAGGAAGCGACACCGCCAAATGCTTCGCAGCAGATTCAATTAACATGGCCCGACGACTACGTAACCGTGGGTGCGGATGACCAGTTTGTGTCAGTTGACCACGAAGACCTATATCAAGGAGAGGTTCGCAGAGACGGCAAGAACCAGGGCGAAAAGAAGCGTATTCTCTTTCGTCCTCAAGTGACGGTCAACGTTTTCGGCAACAACGGATCGAACTCTGGAGCCACAGGAGCAGAAGGGTCCGAGCCAAGCAGCACAGAACCAACCAAGGAAAAGAAGACCGAACAGTCTGATGCTATCATAGCCGATTTGACGGCCAAACTTGCAGCTTTATCCCAAAAAGTTGACGAGCTTTCCGAGTTAGCATCCGCTCGGAGACCTCGAGTTGAATGCGGGTTGTGGAACACGAGCGAGGTTCGCTCTTGGGAACATCCTTCGAACGATACCAAAGGGCGAATCTGGTTTGAAAAAGAGTTCAAATCTGTCCCAAAGGTAACAACTGGGATGTCCTCAGCCGACGTGTCTAAAAATGCAAACTTTAGAGTGTCCGTCTATCCGACAGAAATAGATACAAAAGGATTTAAAGTTAATGTACATGGCTGGGATAATACGGTGATATATTCTTGCGGGGTGTCGTGGGTCGCAATAGGCGAATAGTTTGTGTACGTACACCGCAATATGTACCTGGTGTATAGGAAGAAGCCATCTTCTACGACGTCTATTGTGACCTGCCATACAGACTACGGCGGCGGAAACTCAAAACATAACTTCCCAGTTACCTTAGCTAGACTGTCTAAACTACATTGTCTGAAGTGGATATATGAACTTGAAGTTCTCTCGATCTGTCTTGTTTAAATCTTTATCATTTATTATTCTGACTGCTGGTATCAAGTAGAATAAACACGGCGAACGTCAAGACTACACAGATAATATGAAGCCACTTCCACGATGAGATCTCGCCGATAAGGTGATTGTAATCCAGAATTTAGTAAATCTGCCCAAGGCCCACGGCAAAGGCCTAGCCAAGGACTCTGCTTGGGAGCAAAGAAAGCCAAATATATGACGGTTCTACTAGGTACGATTTGCCACTCGGCCTGTGAAGCTGCTACGTAAGTAATGGCACCAAGATTAGGGACGAAGTCTAATAGTACAATCAGATAACTAACATAGAACATTGCAATTTGTTGTACTGTTTCTTAGTAGTATTGATGTCTGAGGACATACTTCAAAAATTCTTACGGATAATTTTCGATTCGATTTCAGGGGTTAAGAGGCCCACTATTTCCTTGTTGAGGTTATAGAAAACCATTGTATTATCGACATTGATATTGGCCCGACCAGCATACCTCAAGCTGCTATATTTCGATTAGTCTATGTTAAGGGTCGATTTGCGCATTTTTCCCCATTATAAATTAAGCTCTTGCTCTTCGACATGCCTGAGAGCTTGAAGTGAGCCTTGGACAGCATCTTTCTTGCCTCGAGGTCTTGGTAAATACCTAGACATCGAGTTACTGGGTTTCCCTTTTTCATCTAATTACTCTGAGTATTAAGTCATACTAACCTTGATATCTCTATGTGTCGAGGATCATCATGTACTACGGTAAATCCGTTACCCTGGAGATATTTATCGCGCTATCGCTAAAACTCACGCATATATTATCTAGTCACTATGAATCGACACTGGTAAGAAACTCGGACATATAATATTAAAGGAGTGACATGGACTATCATATAAGTGAACTGACTGAAAAACTTCAAGTGAACGTGAAAGCGAGTGACGTAGTAGTCGTGACTAGGAAACCTTTAGGTCCAATGGCCCAAAAGTGTATGCTGATGACAGATAAGTAAGCTGTCGAAATGTGCTGACAGTCCGAAAGGCAATAGAATCTGATACCCCGACAGACGACTCGGTAACCCATTCTAACGTCGCCATGCCATATTTCGTTACCAAACTCTGCTTCAATATAGCCCAACCACAATATCACCACGGACCCTAGCCGTAGCATGTACTTCAGCCTCTAGATCCAGCTTGATCCCGACCAAGAGGGCGGCATCCTTAAGCTTACCGGACTCATCAACGGGGCCCTTGAGCAGGTTGCCTAGTGTGATGATATTAGCACAATAATAGGCGGTGTTACTTATAGCCAGAATTATAGGATGAATATCATACCAACTGGCCCGTTAGCACTGCCGGATAGTCCTGGCATGGGGAGACTATGCTTCAAAGCTCCACCGGCATTTCGTTCTGCTCCAGCAAATGAGTTTCCACTGGTGGTGACAGGACCTCCAGTCCTATGGGAAAACAAATGTTAATCTAAAAATATTTCCTGAATGGGTTGAGATCACTGACGAAGACATGATGATTCTTTGTAGGTTTTAATGATTGATTCTTAGGAATTGTTAGCCGCTAGGAAGTAAGGCTGTAATTTAGGAGATACTTACACTATCCCCTTTTGACAGGGATGTTTATTATCTCTAAACGTGGTGTCTAGAGATTCACTTAGAAAGTCTTCACGACCGAAATAGAGCGAAAGGGGGTTAAAACTAAGGTTTAGGATGAGCTAATTGCTGCCAGGTAAATACTCTAGGCACTCAAAATTCTCTTCCAGGAGCTGTAAACTGTCTGTTTCTTCAAGACAAAAAATATTCATCACAAGAGACTGGAAGAAGCTTTTATACACATCTTCAAACTTTTCAAAGTGTAATCATGTATAGCCGTAGACTCCAGTGACTGAAAGGTGAGCTACGAGATCATCGTATATCGGTTAGATTCTAAACTATGACGAGTGCTGTGCGAACTCACCTCCGTAAAGTCATCCAAGCCTCATGAGATCCTAACGTGTTGGGCGTCGTATCCTAGATCCTCTATTCGTAATTTCGACAAGAGGATAGGCCTGCCCTAACAATGGAGAAGACCGTGTATGCCTACTAATCATACGATTCAGGAGAAAGTGGTCTTTGAAAGTTACACTTCGGCACCTGCAATGCATGACAGTTCACTGTCGAGGCCCTTCTGTGACGACACGGAGGAAACGGAGGCAAGTCCGGAAATCTTTAAAGATATCTAATACTAGTTTTGTTGCCGTTACCTATCCTTTCAATTCAAGGTGCATCGTTAGCGCACCGAGCACATGAATCCGGTCCAGGTTACTCCCGAGTAGCATAGCGGTTGGGTATCAATACTTCCGTGGGCGGGCAAAGATCATTAGGAGATCTGCTGTATCGCCTCGCACAGATACTCAAGTCCTACCGATGGGGCTACCATCTCGGCTATCCACGAATATAGATATGAACTCAACGAGAGCATATATACCCCGCGCTCAGTTAGACTTGGTTTAACGCCGTGAAACGATCAATCAGAATAGCAACTATGTCGCAACCCCTCACGTTTCTCGTCGCTTTCTCTGCTGTTGTAGGCACTTCCGAAGCCATCCGACAAATTCAGTCAGATTCTAAGAGAAAGGAGCATCGGAGCCGAAAGAATAATCTGATAGTACGGTGTCCTAAGTCATCACAATACAGCCCTATACTCGAAGGGAGACGTGTAGTTCTATCTGGTGACAAGGTAAACAGTTTACAAGCCCGTTTCAGCAAAGTATGCTCAAGCTAACAAGTCTCTGATAGCTATACATTGATACAGGTACCGACCATGACCAGGCCTTCGGTCATCCGTTTGCTGGATATTTCCTCCCATACCCAGATTCCAAGTACTCTGGTCTCGTCACAACCATCTGCGACGAGCCACCAATCATGAATTGGATATACATTGATCGCGATACATATGAGATCAAGTTCGGTACTCGTCCATTGGCACAGCCCAATTGGCCCGGGCCTTTCGATTGCTCTCGACAGGACCGCAGGTTGACATTTTCTGGCTGGGAAGGTTTCCATGCCGTCAAGGAGGGCGATTTTGGGCATTGTACTTTGACATTGATGAGGATAATCTTAAATCGAAGGTGAAAAGTGACGCTGTAGTACTAGATATAGAACTATTACGCGTAGAGATGCGTGTTAAACCTTCTAAGAAGGAGGAACCATCTGCTGGGGGCTCAGAGGATACCAAATCCAAGGAAGACCCTTCAGTGTTGGATGAAAAGCAGTATGAGCAAAAGAGTGAAGAGAAGGTGGAAGCCACTCAGGATTTTAACCTGGAGTCGCCAGATGTGGATTAAATTGGTAAATTTACGCCATGTACTTGCAGCAATCCAGCTCTGATCTCTACGGAGTTCATACTGGAGTCATTTAAAGTCAATATACCAATCGACTACCCAAACCATTAATAGTAAAGATCTCAGTAGTCCGTTCAGGAGCTTGACCGTTCTCTTAGATATCCTCAGATGTAGTACTCCATAGTTATTCAACCTTGCCTCAAAGATTATAAGGGCTCCCAAACAGCTACGACGTGAAAATTGAAATCGTTACATATCCAGACTACCTACCCCAGACTACCCTTCTGTCGGAACCGAGAGTGTTACTATCGTTGTACAAAACCCATACGATATGTGTGGTATGTGATCGCGTACAAAACGTGTCCTAGTTAGACTACTCCACACGCAAGGCTATGCCGTAGTTTGGAAGAGGACCTAGCTAGTTATTGGCATATTATAAGGTGGAGATGTACACGTTCGGCAATGACCGCGGGTCATTAACTATGGAAATAGAAATTACACGTGAATCTTGGAGTTGTATAATCGCGGTCATATGTGACCTGGATCATTCGATACTGGAGTGAGGAAATATCCGGGTCTCTCCACCTTGTTACTTCTTTTAGGATTGTACGTAATCACGATGGGAAGCGTTGTAACATTGTGTGAAAATATATACTCTGTGTTACAACTGGGCTGGGTCGCGTGGCACTAGGTATTCTATGCAAGCCAGGCGATAATTACGCCGAGGAGGCTTACACTTACTAAGAAGGTAATTTTATATCTCCTATAGTTTTGATCCTCTCTGTTGGGGCTCGCAATTTATAGCTGATGCTATTTTTCATCACTAACTTGAAGAGCGCTTGTAAATATACAACTAAAACCGAATCTCGTAGTATTGGCCTAAGAGAGGTGATAAAGTTATTAGGTCATATATAGCGATTGGCTTTAGGAGATTAAGTTACTACTAAGGAATCAATAGGCAATAACAGTACACCAGTTGATTTATATTTGGCATTATCGGTATCTAATCACTAAAAAAAGTATTTTAGGCAGTTAATATTTGATCCAAATGGTGTCCCTTCATTAGTACCTTAGGTACCTAATCTAGGTAGGTATCTATCGTTATACTCAAGTCATAATTCATGACCGTAGTTATATTTACAGTACACACTGAGCTCCCCCTGATTTTTCACGAGAACCTCTCAATTCACCCTGTATCCCAGAACCCTGTCTGCCTTCAGGGTGAATAATTTCCCGGATATTTTATCGTGCTTCAACACACGATCCTGGACCTTTCGTACGACCTTGATACTCGGTATTTCCACATTAAGGTAGGTATCGTAGTTGGTTTAAGAAACTGAACAACCTATGAGAAGTCCGGTTTAGATATCATCATGGTGCGCAAGCATGTGTCGGCAGCAGGCTATTCTTGGGGACTATTGCTTGCCCACCTATCCCAGCGAAAAGTCCATAATTTAGACAATATGTCCAAGGACGCTATCGTGCTTTTAGGCGTTTCAGTGGCCGATATTCCTAACTAGATACAATGCCGCCGCAATCTGTACTATATATACTGCGTATAGAGCGCTTGGGCGACTTGGTAACGTAATATTACGCGTGTTAGGCAGTCGGTCGAGACAAGAAACCTTGCTTTCGAGGAATTCATATGCCTATTTGTTGCCTGTATGTGACTGGTACGACTTAGGCGGATAGGACATGGGCGGGGTGATCGTGCACCTTTTAATTCGGATCCTTCCGCTTGATCTAGGTGACGCCTCGGATTATGATGACGCCTTATGGTTCCACCTGTGCTGGCGATCCATAGCATAAAATTTTCCGTGTTGATTAAGAATTAATGCCATACAATTGCTTCCTTTCTCCTATCACCAATCCCTCAAATATCTCTCGCTTCCGAAATGTTCTTCTCGTGGTTGCTCATTCGGTCTCGCAGCTGTAGTTACTGTATTATCGGTGGTAATTTTGATGTAGTTACTTCGATCCCTATTTTGAGAGGAGCCCCCTGACCCTAGGTCAGATGTATTTGCGCCGCTAGGAGGAGTCACACGCAGCTTGGCGAGCGCGAAATCGGAAGTCAAAGCTCTGTTGTTGGCTGATATGAATCCGCTTCGTAGCGATCGGAGGAAGGGCCAGAAGTAGGCAGCGCAGGCGGCCGATATACTTGCGAATTGGACGAATTGCATACAAAGGTAGTATGGAAATCCTCGGAGCGTATAATCGTGTTCGGCAAGGCGGGGAAGATAGATGAGTTGGCAAACCGTCGCTGCAATAGCACTTCAACTTGTTAGGGACATGCGAACGAAGATCATATAGATATGAGTGAGACTAACAATATTCTCACGGAGAAGAAGCTAAGAGCTATGATTCGTGTCCTAGCCGAAAGTTTGAGAGGGTATATGACGATTGCCGGAAGAGCTATGAGTGAAGCATCCGTTATAATGTTCGTGATGTCCACGTATTCTAAAAATGCTATCTATATGGCTCATTAGCAATAAGTCTTCAGTATAGATTCTACAGCACATATCAACTTATCTCTTACCCTATCAATGCAGCTGGAGTCGTTGCTTTCCCATGGACCATGGATCCCGCACTGAAAAGCCGTTCCGATGAAGGCTACTAGCAACCAGATGATGACGGTAACAATGAAGACGGAGGTGAGGCGACGGTGCCCCGTTTCCGGGGACAAGGAAGATAATCCTATACAGACCGAGAGCTTCGCAAGTCCGAGCGCAAGGATATACAATAATTGTCCGGCGTATTGCACCTGAATATGCACAATTAGCTTCGATATTAAGTCGATATGCTTCACGATATATACATACTTTAAGACCTGCTGTAAATTCATCATCGGAAATGAGACTCCGCGCTTTTCCAAATATTTTCCCCTCGGGAACGAGGAGCGTCACGGATTCGCCGAGACCAGCGAACTAGTTGTCACAATGTTAACACGACTGAATGCTATCCTCTCGTTGAGACGTAAGCTAACGTACAAATGCCAAGGCGATGAGTGCCTCTTCCCATCCAAACCGTTGGTTCGTTTTCAGGAAAAACTTGGTCAAGAAGCGGAAACAGAGCATAAGCGAGGTCAACGCGATCAGTAACCAAGTGATCATCTGTAGGATAGGGTTCATGTCTGAGTCCGTAACGACGATCCCAGTCGGCGGCGAGGGCGCAGCATCCGCGGCGGCGCGACGGAAAACCGACGGCATCTTCAAGAACCAGATGCCGGCCGCCCTATGGACGCGAGATGATATATCTCAAGGTAAACCGTCGAAGAATAGCAGCGGGCCGGACATTGGCAGGGCTGAGAAGCCCCAGGGTTTCCCGCGCGACGATGTGTATATTAAGGTTGTGAGCTATGGAGTTTGAAAAGACCTGGGGAAAGAAAGTGGCCTTGATTCGCGCGCGCTCCGTGCGTATTTTTCTAGGATAAATACGGATAGGGGAGTGGAAACGCCAAGCAGCCAACCACTGGCTCTAACGATGCTGACGGGCGGCGCAGATTTGCGATCGAACCATGGATATCCGCGGCAGTTGGCCCCATTAGCTTATTTAAGAAATAGTATTGCGACAGGATCATCTATATGAGAATATATGTGTTGCACTGCATAACCAACGAGAGCAGTTCATAGGTAGCCTCTGATATTCTATGCGTCTGTTGGAAAGGGTTTTTTTTTTCTTACTTATTTTTATCTCTACCACCCTCCTTTAGTTTAGATAATCACATTCTCTATGATAATCTCCCCATTTGTCCGTTTAGAGAATTAGAGCTGATCACGAAGGACTAAGGATGCAGGGGACCTAGGGATCTACACCGATGAAGGCGGGAGCTACATGGAACTAATGCTAGTCAGACCGTGGGGGAGTACCCATACACACGAAAATACGGATGACCTAGATGGATCGTGCACTTAGGTAGGCTGCCACATGTATGTATACAAGGTAGTTAAAGCAAGGGTATCCGAATAGTTCTGGTTCCTTACGATATCACTGGTCGACCTAAACAGATTGAAATGCCTATACATGTATATAGTGCGCTACATAATACTACAGTAGGATATTTCTAGCCAATAAATAGAAATGAGTAGAATAATAACTAAGATCATGTCTTTGAATGTTCCAAATCATGGCACAATTGGGGAAATTCGTCGTCTCCTCATTCATCCGAAGGATTCACTTGAACCAAGGCTACTAGCGATCCTAATAATACTACCAAGTACATAACAACCGAACCAGCCTTTTGCATCCGAATTTGAAAGACTTGCACAGGACCACGTGCTACTTACTTATATCTTAAGGTAAGATGGGTTACTTTCATGCGGCATGCAATAATACTACCCAGGCCAGCCTTAACATATCTTGCCCAAAGCTGAAATTTGGAGGGGTCGTACGTGGAAGCAAGACGCTAAATTTTTTGCAGTAAGTGCTCGAAATGTAGGGGCCAGTCCGCTTTGATCCCTAGTGGGGTTGACGCAGGAGCATCGAGGGTCGCCAAGACGGCCCGACTCTCACCAATATCTTGGTCCAGCACATTAATAGGTCTAGCAAAGCTTGATGGGACATGCTTACCAGTCTTCTGGGCCATAACTTAACGATTATAAATAACTAGGTGAAGGTGGTAGGTAAGTATGAATATACAGTGGAGTATGATGCAGGACAATGGGATATGACGAGATAAGTTAATGCTGATTTTAATAGGTTTTAAATCAGCATCGTAATGCATGTATCTTTTTTTTTTTCAGTTAATACCTACTATACTGTTACAAGTGACTGTGAAATGCGACTAGAAGCCATACAAAGCAGGGTTGGTGGTTAGCTTTACTTAAGGCTCGTCAAAGGGGCACGAATAATACGTTATTCAGCCACCAAATCCCCGAAGCCAGTCTTTCCCATAGCCTCAAGACGTTAGGAAATAAATTAGATGCCCCATAGTAACGATGTACATTATCGTAGCAGTGCCACATAGTGTGTTGACATAATAAGGAACTAGGCTGGCCCTTATATGC